AGCCGCCTTATGCCTCGGAATGCCTCAATGTCTTTCGATCGATTTTGGCACATATTTGTCGCCCAACCCCCTATTCTGCCGGCCGGTGAGGAGAAGCGATTGCAAATTCAGTCAACTTGGAGCTCGGCTCTCTATCGCGAGTGGTTTCTCTAGGCTCTCCAATACAGATATCATACGGGGTATTCGTAGACGGGATGTAGATTCTGCGACTCAAAATCTTGGAGCAGTACGGAGTAGCAGCGCTGCAGTATCGATGTTCCATGTTTGAGACAGGCACGAGTCCGAAGCCTGTGACCTCTTTGGCCTGGTTTGCAGCTGAAGTCGGGAAACGCTAAGACGACCATCAGCGATGGTTTGGCCGAAGCTAGAGGCTGGCTTTGAATCGGTCGAGGAGCCATCCCCTATTTCAGCTGGGTCAACCAGCCACCTCGAATGGCCGAGCTGTGAGTGACATCAAAGACCCCTGGAGGCTTGTTGCCCGAGAGCCGCGAATCCCTGTCCTCGCAGCTCATTTGTCCTGATTAAGGTGCTGGACTTCCCTGCGGTATCCCACCAAAGTGGCCTTGGCCTTTATGTTTTCTCAACGGCGGGACTCGGGGCCTTTGATCTGTCTGGTATCCGTACCTGTGAGAGGGAGAGAGGGAGAGAGGGAGAGCCCTGGTTTTGAGCTTATCACATCTTTAGTGATAGTGAGAAGCAGTCGGAGTTGTCGCGGCTGAAAATCTGTGCCAGAAGTACATCGTGAAGTAGAACTATGGTGCCAGTACTCCGTACTTCTTGACTGTGCCTGTCCATGGGTCTCTAAACAAATCCTATGGCTGGTGGATGTCGAGGTTAAGCGGAGTGAAGGAAGAGGGCGGTGTGTTGATGATTGGTGCCTCGACCCATTTCACTGCTCGGCAACGAAATCAGAGGGACAGGTTTACCGGAGAGGTGGCGGGAGCGCATACGGCCCGCCATAGGGATCCACGAAACCCATCTGCTGGCGGCTTCTGGATGGCTGTTTGCCGTCTTGGAGTTGTGTATGTGGATGCGGTTGATATGTGTGTCGCTTTTGGTGGCCGGGGTCGTCAGGCGAGGATCACGGCTGAAGCCTGAAGCACATGGGCATCAGTCAGGACTCAGGACTAGGGAGCCGGGGCAGGCGTTGGATTTGTGACGAGGCACAATGTGCCGTGCTTTGCTGTATGTCAGGTATTCACGAGGGTGGTATCCGTAGCATCTAGAGGCAGAAGGCTTGAGACGAGGTTCAACAGAGTTACAAATGGGCGGTAGCATTCGCTATGCTTGATCGAGGTACGAAACGTGCTTTGCTTTGCATCTTGTGGAGGTGTGACTGCAAGTGAGATGGAAATATGTGTAGATGTACCTTTGGACGGGAGGATCCGGTCTTAGCTACCCATCGACTCTTTCCGCAAGAATTTGTTGTAAAGCACAGGTCAGGCTCCAGGTGAATATCGTCACGCAATCGGCAAGAACAGAGGGGATATGATAAAATGGCAAAGGACGAATGCATACGTATTTGTAGGTACTCCGTTCCCTAAGCAGTATTATCCGTAGGCCAGTTGAAGTTTCCAGTAGAGTGGGATACCAGTGGACGGGTAGAGGTACCGAAGTGACATGGGAAAAGGGTCCAAGCTGTTCGGGTCTTGCGGCCTTGCAGGTTGAAAGTGATGGGATGAGGTCCATATCCACATCCATACCCGTTCGTACAGATGGGTATCTGGAGCACGCAACCTGGGTACTAGGTCCTGGATGATGCCAGATGGGAAAGTGAGGCAAAGTTGCGGTGGCCGACGAGATACCTGAGGTACCTTGCTCTACCGGGCTTGTTTCTCTCTCCGCAGAAGGAAGAGAAGGCGACGGAAAGAGCAGAGGAAGAAGAGAAGCAGGAAGGAGGTGTGAGCGGGAAAAAAACATGTACGGAGTAGTAAGGTAGACGACGATCCATGGCCAAACTTCCTCTTCCTTTCTGATCTCACTTTTTTACCTTTACCCTTTTTTAGCTTCTGTCCCATCTTCTTCTTGTCCCGTCCAGTCCCCGAATCGACTGCAACTCTCCTTCTCCCACTTGTCTATCCGACTGTCTGGATTGGGCCGAGACTTAGCCTTTTGAGGCAAAAATCACACACCACACAGCAGAAACAAGACACCAGGGCGAGGAAGCCGTTGCTTTCACACCCCTCCTTCCTGCTTCCTCGATCCGCATTCGCACTGGACTTGTTCACGACGCTCCTTCCTCCCGATTCTAATACTAATTTCGAGCTCTCGCTCTCACAACGCTCTCTGCCATCTGCCCTCTGCCTCCTCCGCTCCTTCTACCACCAGTCCCATCACTCACTCAGTTTCGTCCATTTCCACCCTTTCCCACACACAACTGAGTTGTCCATCGCATCGAGAACGCCGGGCGTCCACCACCAAACACTCCTTGGATTTCCTACTCTTCGACAACAGTGACAACTTCTAATAAAACACACGCACACGCATACGCACGCATCTGCTCCGCCATTTGCAACTCACGAATACCGGGAAGCTCCCACGCCGCTAATTCGCACACTCGCACACACTCCCTCGTATCACCCGACGAACCAGTGAGACACTTCCCGCTAGACGCCGACGTGCATACCCCCATCCAAATCATCCGAACGAACACCTGATGGACGATCGGAACATACAGCTTGTATTACACCAACTGCTAATTCCTTCTTCACGAGAGCAACGATCTACTCATACGACCCGGGAAACTACCTACACACGACTTCACCAGGAGGAGAACCAGCAAGACGTGGCATAGGAGAAAGGTTGCTTCGACATCTGGGGATTAGACACACGCACGAACCGCTGGAGGCCCAGAGGGAACAGCAACAACGAACATCCCAGAGTCACAAAATCTGCAGCATCGCAGAACCACAAAAAAGAGGAACCGTTGGGAGACGAAAAAAAGAAATAACGATAACGGTTATCAGCAAACGAACACCGGCAGGCGCACACACCACTAATCGACCCGTGAGCCACAGAACGCGACCGGTTGCTCATTGGACGGAGTGGATTCCCACAGGAACAGGCCCTCGACATTGGTGGACTGGGGTCAGTCAGAGACAAACAGCGCAAAGAGCTCACCCCCGGCCCAGGGAAACTGACGAAAAAAAAAAAAAGGAGGGCGAGGACGAGCAAAAAAAGGAAGGGGAAGAACAACAAAGGAGCCCCGGCCACACTCGCAGGCGCAGCGACCGAAGCGAACTGAAAGCGGACCCCCAACCTGGATTTCCTGACCGAGAGAGCACAGAGACACCACCCGATCCCTAACAGTCCCCCCTCCCCCCCGACGCGAACATGGCCACGGCCACAGCAGCACCGCCAGCACCAGCACCCGTACTCGCACCCGCAACAGCAGCACCAGCACCAGCAAATGGTGGTTTCGAAGCTGCGGGCCATGCCCCGACTCTGAATCCCACACAGCTCTCTTCTGCTACGGTATCCGCATCCGCGTCCGCGTCCGCGTCTCCTTCATCCTCATTCTCTTCGCAAAGTGCTGTTGCATTCCATACTCCCTCACTTTCTGCGACATCTTCAGCAAATTCACCTTCTTCACCTTATCACGCACACCGGCTGAGCCACAACTCGTCCAAGCTCCCTGCTTTTCGATTCGCCGACTTACACAAGCAATACCAATCCCCACGCCTAGTGCTCCCCTCACTACTGCAGCACATCCCGCCATCGCCTGTCTCGCCTAAATCGACTCCAACATCCAACGAAATTCACTCGGCACCTGCGATTGGCACTGTCACCGACACAATCACTTTCACCGACACAGACGCCCTCACTGACACTGACATTGGCATTGGCATAACCACCGACACTGACACCGCCTCTCCCACCACCCTGCCAACAACGTCAGACCTGCAGCTGCACCACCAGCAGCCACAACAACACAACGTCGACCCGGAAAACAACATCCCACCCCAAAACATCCGTTCGACTTCACTTCGACTACACGACCGGCGCCCCTCCCATCGCCAGTTGTCCCAACTTTCCCCCCGGATTTCGAGCCCGATTCACGAACTGCCCGAGTCGCCTCCAAAACTCAGCCCTCGATCCCGCGCATCAACGTATCAGGTTGCTACCCAGTCCACCCCTGCAGCTTCAGCCACCTCACCAAGACGGCCCGCGTCTTATCCCGACCGCCCCGTCATCGTGCAGTCCATCTCATCCCACAGCAACGTCGCAGATCTCAAGACACCCGCCCCTCTCTCCCGACTGCAAACTCGACGTGCGGCTGCACACCGATCCCGCGAGTCGAATGCGACCGATACCGAGTCACCATCCGCAGACACCGATCACTTGCAAACCCCCGACACTCCCGACGACGTCGCTCAACCCCAAGGCGACAAAACAACAAAGGACTGGGCCAAGGGACAGCGTGAGCTGATACTGCCAAAGACATTGGAGAACGCAAGCCCGACAGATGAAAAACGAAAGTCGATAGCCTCGCGACCCCCCGTAACCTTTAAAGCCACTACCGCTAGCACCCCGACCACCTCGGTGCGCGTGGCTCCCATCCGTTCCTTTCGCTCATCCGGGTCTCGTCGAAGTCTGGGACTCGACAGTAGCACCTCCACCATGCGGTCTTTTGACTTTGGCGACGACTACGCCGACTCCAATCAGCGCGACCGCACTCTGCGCGCCCTTGAAGGACGACGCGACGACGACTATTCGCAAATGACACCGCCGTTGTCAGCCGACGCCGACGACACGACCGGTGACGTCTTTATGAAAATCGCCAGACAGGAACCAACGCGCCGTGGTTCTAAAGAGGTTGCGCCAGCGGAGCAGCCAAGTGCCATAGTAAGTTTAGCCATCTTTCATGGGTTTGCGTTGTTGTTTCGGGAAATCTGTTAGCGCGATGCAAACGGCCGTGCCCTGCGATGGCTGGCGTCTGTTCGCCATGATATCAAGCCGTCTTCCCGTATCTTTTTGCTTGATCTTCCCGCTCTTCCCACATTTCCCTATCCAAATTCCCCATTTGGATATGATAGTCCACCAACTCTCTAGCGCTGCTTCATTTCCCACGCTCCGGTGACGCTAATCCTGGCGTACTGGACATGTTGATAGAGTTTCGCCATGGATGACCGTGAGCTTACTGACGATGAACAACAGGCCCGTGTCGCAAGATCTTCGCATCGCCGACCCCTCTCCGCAGCTGTTCCATTGTCTTATCATCATCCCGTCTCCCCACCCCAGATCAGCCGTCGTCTGTCTGACCAACAAGAAACCTCTAAGAAGAGAATACGCCAATCGTCAGAGGACGACAGCGCTGCTGACCCAATGGCTCGCGCGTTGGCGTACCGATCGCCTTTGACCCGAGACCGACCTTCATCCGCGCATCCCGGCGAAGACCTTGGTCGCGCAAAGACATTCCATCAATCTTCCTCTCGCTCAACTGTCAACACACCCCGGTCCTTCACCTTCCAGGATCCGATGGGAGAGAACTCTCCATACGCACGGAGAAGGCCTTCCTTGACAGACAGCAACACCGGCTACTCTGCGCGCAGCTCGGCGTACAGGCAATCCAACTTGTCGTATGGCCAAACGCGTACGTATAACTCTTCGCCCTTGGTTCCTAAATCGATAGAGGCACCGCGCACCGAAAGCCATCAAGACGCAGTAACGACAGTCGAAGGAACCGAATCGACCGCAACAGCATCGACAAACGCACCGTCGACAGTGTGGGACGAATTGGACGATCTCAAGTCCCGCATCCATCGTCTGGAATTGACCGGCAAGTTGCCCAAGACCTCGGGCGCCGCAATGTCGAGAGCCTCAGATGATCGCCCTCCGACCGCAACCAACACGACCATGTCCACCTCGCCGAAACGAGCTTCCGAAAGTCAGCACCCTCACACCGACGCAATTAGCACGACATCTTCACAACGCGAGGTCCAGCAACCCATCCTCCTTTCTGCTGTCAACAAGTCCAAGCCATTCCTTAGTGAAGAGGTGGCAAAGGCACTCGAGGTGGCAGCAACAGACGCTCTGGCACTGGCCAACATGATGGGGACGGCAGGCCAACCTGGGCCCATCTCAAGCGGCGCCAGCACAATTGGCGTCGGCACCAGCCTGACGGATCGTCAATTGCGACGCAAGGCTGACAGCATTTGCCGAAGCCTTACGGAGCTGGTTCTGGCATTGAGCGAAGAAGCGGCTGGCAACAAGACTCTCCAAGTCAACGTTCCTGCACCCAAAGAAACGACGACACCAGTCACACCAACTATTAACAAGACATTCACTGGCGGATCATCCGGCCAGCGACGTCCTAGCATAACATCCGCTGAGCAGCAGACTCTCCCGAAGCCCAATGCCAATACGGTTACGAGCCCTAGGGCCCTGTCAAAATACGAAGAGAGGCGCAACACTATGCTCAACCCGGCTTCGCTCCCCAGTCCTAGGTTTGCGCTCCCACCCGGCACCATTCCGAGTACCCCTGGAGACGGCAGCAAAATGGCGAATCGAAAGTCATCCTTATTGATTAGTCGGTCGCGCCGTGCTGTTACCGAAGAGCCTGAGGATGGCCGTAGGTCATCCATGCTGAGGACCCGACGAGCAGGCACAGAGGAGCCGGAGGATTCACGCGAAGCAGCAGGCCGCGAGAATGGACGTCAAACGTCGCTTCTTCGCTCACGCAGGGGAACTGTGGGCGGCGAAGATGAAGATGAATCTAGATTCCGCGCCCCATCCCGCGCTGCTACAGAGCTCACCACACCGGCCCGCGCAGTCTCACACACCTACCTCTCAAACTCCAACTCCAACGAACTATCATCACCAGCTTCTTCTGCCCTGCCTCGCAGACGGTTCGGAGCCTCATCCATTACTTCTCGGCTGGTTGCGCCTTCCACACCATCGCTGGCGACGCGCCGATATCTGGAACGAACTCCAGAACGCGAACAACCCTCATCGGCCGAGAAAGCCACCGAGGAACGGCCGCAACAAGTTGTTGCGCAGCCGCGACACTTTTCCCTCAGTCACACTTCGTTGCTGAACCGGGCTAGCAGCATTAGCCGCAGACCGAATCGCGACAGCACGATAACGAACTCATCAACGGCTGCTCAGTCGGGCAGTTACCGATAACGTCTTTACGAATCACAGTCACACGGATGAATGTATCATAGATGTCTTATTCTCACGCTGGCGTCATTCTTGTTTTGCATATGGTAAAACCGCATGGGCTCGGCAGCGGTTACTCTGTACTTGTATGACAATCCACGAGGGAAGGCCGATTGATTTCTTGGGATTCGCCTTTCCCGTAAAAAAAACAGGCTGGAGTAGAGCATTTGTATATCGAGCAGTCCATAGGAAACAAAAGGTCAAGGATAGAAGCATAGGATGCTTCTGACTTGTTTGGTCAACTTTATGATTCTCAATTAGGGATTACGTGATGTTGTCAGAGACGTGATGTTCCGTGCATTCATTGTAGGTTCTATGCAACTGTAAGTACATTCGCTACGCCTCAACGTTGTATTGAGTTTGGTCACATCGCCAGCGGACCAGCCATAAACACTTCAGGGCCCTGATACGTGACCGTGCGAGGCCGCCGTTGCATCCGTTGCGTTGAGAGGTAGTTGGCAGGGCTGACAAGTTGACTCATCGGCGACGAGTCCAGAGAGGAAGTGGAAGTATGTTTGACAGGTGAAGAGAGGGGGGGGGGGCTTGTTCATTGGATGAGCCACTCACTAAAGGAGGGCTGTTCTTTTAAGCGGGTCTGGGCCAAACCCAACTCCGACTTCACACATCGACTTGCCTTACTTTGTACACGGAGCTGATGTTCTATACATAAGGCGTTCTGCACGCTTTCTTCTCATTCAGCGTCTTCCCACATGCCAAACCGCCTCATTGGATCCCCTTCTTTCAGACGAGTTAAGCACCACGCTTTTCGTGGCCTCAACCCCAAAAGACCGCTGAGTTTACTTTTCTCAGCGACGTTTACTACTCAGTCGCGGACCCCACTTGCACCACCTTCCTCACCCGCGAGAGGGACCACCAGAGGTTGCACCAGGTGGAAGACGACTTTCGGCTCTCAGAGGTTCACCGGTTCAACTGTATCTTCTTCTCGCTTTACATCATCGTGGACTCAGAACAACGGAGAGATGGCCGACCAATTTGCAGAGACTGCCCCCGCAGCTGGGGACAGTGCGCAGCAACAGAAAAGAGGGGGACATAGAGGCGGAAGGGGAGGTGGTGGTCGAGGAGGAGGCGGAGGGGGCCAGCCGAGAGAGGTGTTAGTTTCCAAGGCGCTTTCGAAGCTTTTGAGGCATCAGGCGGAGAACGCGGGTCTCAAGCTCGACGAGGGCGGGTATGCGCCCCTGGACAAGGTGGTGAGTTTTGAGAAGTCTCCTTTTCTTTTCATACATGAGAGATGATGAGGATGTCGGGAGAGTTTGTCTTCTTGTGAGGGAGATATAAGGGTCCCTTTCCGTCTCAAAGTCAAAATCGACAAACAGCTACTAACGAGAACGCAAAAAGCTCGCATACGGCCCAATCAAGTCTCTCAAAGTCACCTTTTCCGACATCCAAGTCGCGGTCACGACGTCGGACAAGCAGCGCTTCGCACTCAAGCTCAACCCCACGGCGGCGGCCGAGACGAGCGAGGAGCTATCGACGGAGCCCTCGGACTGGCTGATCCGCGCGAACCAGGGCCACAGCATCAAAGTCGAGTCGGCGGGCCTGCTAACCCCTCTCACGCTCGAGGCGGGCAACGTGCCGGCGGTGGTGGTGCACGGGACGTACTTTGCTTTTTGGAAGCAGATTGAAGCGTCGGGCGGGTTAAAGAGGATGGGGAGGAACCACGTGCACCTTGCGACGGGGTTGCCCGGCGACGAAAAGGGCGTTGTCAGCGGGATGAGGAAGGATGCCGAGGTGTTGGTGTATGTTGACGTCGAGAGGGCGTTGAGAGAGGAGGAGGGGATCAAGTGGTGGGTTAGTGAGAACGGTGTCGTTTTGACGGAGGGGGATGGCGAGGGGGTTGTGCCGTGCCGGTTGTTTAGGGAGGTTGTTGCGAGGGACGAGGGGAGCGGGGTTGGTGTGCTTTGGAGGGATGGGGAGAGGGTTGGGGAGTTACCTGAGGGGTTGAGGATGAGGGCGCCGCCTGGGAAGGGGAGAGGCGGGAGGGGCGGTGGTGGTGGTGGTGGTGGTGGGAGGAGGGGAGGGAAGGCTTGAGGTGGTGGTGTTGAAGCAAAAGGAAAATCTAGACATATCACAGAGTGGACAGATGGCTTAGGCATAGACGTGTGGTTTTCGCGAGTTGCAAAAAGAGAGATCCTTGGATCCACGGCTCACTAACCTCAATTTGATGAACCTTCGGGCCAGCGAGCATGGACGGCAACCTACTATGGCCATATTGTGAAGGGAATTATTTAGTTTGGTTAAACGTGGTGAAGGATGTAAGTCATGATGCGAGTAGTTGAGGGTCCTTTTACAACACAACCTGGTCGAGTCTTATTGATGCGAAGCGATTGTTGCTGTACTGTTGGGATATCTTTGGCCAACGAACCTCGGCCCCTTATATATCTCTCTTCCCCAAAACTCCTCATACATGGCCTTCCACCTTTCCACAAAGGTACCTCGCAAGAATCCATCTAAAAGCTCACAAACGCCACTCAAGTTTCCCCGAAACCCGAAACCTCGCCCCTATCCGTCATACAATCACTTCCCCAGCAGAAGCTTAGCCGTCCTTTCCCTCTTCTCGACCTCCCCCTCCAACCAAATCACAATCGCATCCGCCATCCTCTCCCGCGCAGCCTTCTTATGCAATACCCGCCGGACGGTGCCCAGGTCGTCCGGGATCCGCGGGTTGCCGTCAAAGTCGGCGCGGCCGTCCCAAAAGTCCTCGAGCGTTGGGTCGGGCGTCAGGATGTACCGCGGCACGGGGAAGTGGAGCTGTGTGCAGAGGTCGCGGACGCGCTTCTCTGCTGATGTCGTCGTCGTCGTGGCCGATTCTTGCGCTGGCGTTGATACCCGTGCCGGTGTTGAGGTTGGTGCGGGAGAGATGGCCGGCGTGGGAACCTGGGACTGCGCTGTGGCGGCGGCGGCGGTGGTGGTGATGGGGGCTCCGGCGCCGCCGAGGGAGGGCGTGCTCGCCGTGGATGTCGTCGTTGAGTCTTGGGCGGCGGTGGAGGTTGGTGATGCTGTCACGTTGAGGGGGAGAGTTGGTTTCGGCGCCTTGGAGGGCATGGTAGATGCGGGAGGTGGTGGTGGTGGCGGTGCTTGGTGACTGGGAAGACTGCTGATGTTGCTGCTGCTTGCGGTAGTGCTGGGTGCCTGAGCTGGTGGCGATGGAGATGTCTTTGGGGGCTGGTTTATATCCTGCTTCTTCCTTGATGCCGCAGCACTGCTTTCTGTTGGCGGCGAGCTCGGCGGGGATCTCTTGGAAGGTAGGACTGACCCGGATGAGCCGCCGCGACTAGGAGAAGGAGAAAGAATAGGGGCAGTAGCAGGATCAGGAGCGGGAGCGGAGGCAGAAGCGGCGACAGCGAGCGCAGCACTGGCAGCCGGGGCGAATGGCTTGGGAAACTTTGGCAGGTCGCCCGAGGGCATCATGTGCCCGTTGTCAATGAGCCACTCGCACGCTGCTTTGGCCGCCCACTGCTTCGCGTCCTTCTTGCCCGGGAAGGACGGGCCGGCGCCGCCGCGAGAGACGTCTGCGCCAGCGTCCATGCCGTAGCCCGGCTGAGGGAAGACGTCGCCGGTGCTGTCAAAGGTTGCTGAGCAAGCCCAACGGAGTTCTTTGGCCTTGCCTAGGCCTTGTTCCTGGCGGGCTTCGTCGGTGAAGGTTACTTTTTGGTTTCTGACTTGTTGGAAATCTGTATTTTGTTCTTCATTAGTATGGGTTTGAAAATATGGTGATAGGTGAAGGCAGTTTGGTGCTTCAGATCAAGAGGAAATGTGATCCTCGTTGGGTAGAGGGGGAGGGGTTGCTTTCCCAGCCTCGAATAGATACATGATCTGAGACGTAGAACGAAGGAATTATCAAGGGAAGTGTATCAAGAATTTAAAAAAGTGCTTGAACTCACGATTCAACAAGCCGAGCCAGTTCGTTTTACCCAAATCCGGTTCCGGTCGCGGGGCCGGACGGAGGAGGACGGCAATGGCCGAGACCTCGTGATCCGTGAGCGGGGCGGGGTGGCCGTGTTCTGCCTCGAAAGCTTCTTTGCCGGCAATGTAGGCTCGGAGAGCCGACCAGTCTACGCGCTGGGCGGCCGTGCTGTTTGCTGATGAGTCTTTCGCCATCGCGTTTGTATGTTGCGCGCGTGAATATGAGAGTGTGTTTCCGTATGTTAGGGTCGCTGCGGCTGCGGCTAGGGGGCGCACCGGAGTAATTGATTTCACAGGTGATGATAGAGCGTGGGTGGATTTGAGATGTTGTCTAATACGACATTTAAATCTGAAGAACATGAATGAGACTCATGTTGCATTGCATGAGATGCGCTCTCCTTTATGTATGAGAATGAGGAAACGAAGATACGTCAGTAGGTTGAGACCGGGGGAAGGTTAACAACGTTGGTGGGGTCGCGTTTTCTGGCCGCTCTGTCCCTGCTTCCCTTGGCTGGGCCAAAACGGTGTTCTGCAGGAGGCTGCCAGCTCTGCGTGGTGACGACCATGACGCATCTGCTATCTGCACCTACAATGGAAGCCAAATCAAGCTGTTGAACGTGATTCGTCTTTTGTCCGCCTATCATAGAGGTTGTTTTCGAACGTTATTGCAGCCTGGTCTTCAACGTACCCAATGTTAATACTGCAGGCTTTGTATGACTTCATATGGCTTTCGAACGACATGTATACACTTATACTGTCTGCCGTAGAATACACGATATGACCAACAGTAAATGTGATCAAGCTGACAGCATGATCAAAATGTGCTTTTCATTGCCGTGATCCCATAAGACTTTTTGGGGGTATACTATTGACTACCAAAACGCTCAACACCTCGCCCTAGTTTCTTTTCCCGAGCTCTCACTCAAAGAAGCCCGTGCCGTCATCTTCCTCTTCCACCTTGGCGGGAGCCTTCCTCTCAGCCGCCCTGCGCTCCCTCCGATTCATCGGCTGCTTAGGATCCCTCTTCTTCTCGAACGTCTTCTTCGACCTGGCCACCCACGGGTCCTCCTCCTTGACTCTCTGCGGCCGCGTCTGTTGATTCTGTCTCGCGGACCGCTGCGGACGGGTCTGGCGCTTGGCAGGGCCGTCTGTCGGTGACCTGCGATCGCGCAGCCGATACAGCGCCACTTCGCCTTCCGGCAAGACCTTCTCGATCGTGGCCCACATCTTGGGTCGTTCGGCGTGGAGGAATTGCAGGGCCTTGGGTTGCTTGGAGGGCTTCGCATCTACATCCGCCTCCGCCTCCGCTTCCTCTTTCTGCTGCTGCTGCTCTTCCTCGACCTTGTCCTCGTGCCCCTCCTCCTTGGCGTTCTTGTCCTTATTGGGGTACAGACTCTCGTAGCGCTCCATCAGGGGGAAGAAGCGGGCGTAGGCGACATCGACTTCGGCCACGTGGGCTTCGGTTTCAAGGCGCTTCTTTTCTTCGGGGTCCTCGGATTGCTGGAGCTTCTTGCGGAGCTGCTTTAGTAGTCTCTCTGCCTTTTTCCGTTCTGCAACGGGAAAAGAAAAACCGGGGTTAGCTGATGGACATCGGTGCAATGGATGATGAACACGAACCAAAAAATCGAACCATATGATATTTCTGAATCATGTCGCCTCTCCTCTTTTTGAAGTTGTGCTCCTCGACTCTCTCCTGCAGCGCTTCGAGCTCTTGTTCCAGCTCATTGCGTTTCGTAGCAGGCAGTTGCTTGCCGCTCTGCAAAAGTCTTCTAATGTCTCTCGAGCGCGTCTTGTTCCAGTTGGTTGTGCCCTCCTTGGCTCTCGACTTCTTCTTGGTGGTCTTGAACCGCTTGTTCTCGTGCTCGCCGTCTTCCGAGCCCGATTGCTGCTGTTGCTCGTAGGTGTCGTCTGGGATTGCGCCCTCCGCGGCGAGCTCAGAATGCGCTCGTTTCGTACCCATTTCTTCTGAGTGTGTGGTGGAAATCCTGCGTGGTTCCCTTTCGATGTGTGATGTTGCGACGCGGGTGGTTGAGGTCGGCTAGAATGCTGTGTAGAGGATGAAGGGCCGACGATGGCATCGCGGACTTCTCTTTCAAAAATTTGGCTCGTTATCGGCTACGAGGAAGTTGCCGACCCCACCTGGGGTGCTTATCAGTCCTAAACGGGACTGGTAGTGCGACTGGTCTGTGCGCGCCAATGACAGGTCCCAATTACAACGGTTCACTGATCTCGAAGCGAAGCGGTCCCGCCCAAAGCTCCAGCGACTTCAGATGATACCTGATTGAAAGCGACTACTGGCGCGGAACTTGTCTTTGCATACCTCATCTTCAAGATCATTCATTAATCGGGGTTGAATTCATAAGAATATTAGAATTTCCCCGTCAAGACGCCATTATCGCGCAGCTTATACTGGATCATCTTATCCAGTGCAGCCCACCCCAGTACCGGGCTTGTCCTGGCAGCTCATGAACGAACCTTCTTTCGACTTTCGTTATTAACATAGGTGCTTCTCTCGAGCTATTCGCCCGAGCAAGGAGAAGGCCGAGTCCATCACGATATTCAGGCGCGTGCGGTCGCCATGGACCGCCCGGAGCCTGGACTGATCAAATGGTCGCAGATACCCGGCTATGACAGCTTTATCCACATAAACCTGCAGCATCGCGTCGTGCAGCTGTATGAGCCCAACGGACTTGCACAGAGAAACCGCTTCGATTATACGAGGCACTCGAAGCATGATGACTTTCCAACACTCACTACCTATGACTGGTCGCCAACGGTCCCAGGTCTCCTGGCTGTGGGCACTCAGACGGGCGTCGTCAACTTGCTCAGGATGGACGACAACTCCAACGCCTACATCGAATTGAACCTTAAGATGACAAGAACATGTCAGGCAGTGGCGTTCAACACCGAGGGTCTTCTTGCTGTTGGCTTGGACCGAGTGCGCATGGATCAGTGTCTACACATATGGGATGTCAACAGGTTGTCGACGATGAACACGACCGCCAAAGGCTTTCCCAAGGATCTCCACGCTTTCTCAGACCCAGCATATCGACTTGAACACAGCGTCTCAGTGTCGAGCGTTAAATTCTTCGAAGACAACCCAAAGACGCTGGTGGTCGGTATCAAAGCCCAAGGTCTACACATCCATGATCTGCGAGGTAAGTAGCAAATATACAATTTGTCGGAAGAAGCCTGCTAATATAATTTGACTGCAGAACCTGGCGCTGTTGTGACCTTCCAGACCAAGTGTAACAACAACCTGGCCATCGATTACGCTGACCAGAACTACTTCGCATCATCCGCACTGGACCAACCTGGCATCATGATTTGGGATAGACGAGCAACGTCTCGGCCAGTTGCCTCACCATCTTATCTGGGCGCAGTTGACGAGGATGACCTTCCGTGGGGTGGAGCCTTGAGACTCGACAGAGTGGTTGAGATGGATGACGATTCCTCCTTGAGCGAAAGCAAGCACTCCATCGTCCGTTCATTGCGCTACTGTCGAGACCGCCGGGGTCTCCTGGCTGTGCTATCTCGATCCGGCCAGCTCAAAGTATTGGAGACGAACAAGGAGATAACGCATCGCGACATGGCTCTTGAAGGTAGCCCAGAGCTTCTCGAGGTCCACAAATCCCACGACATGGATGTTCAGTACGGCGATAGCGGCAGAAAGAATGACAGAATTGTCTCTTTTGACTGGGTAACACTTGATTCTTCGGTCCTGCAGCCTCGTCTGCTTGTCTTGAGGGCAAACGGGACCTTTGAGATACTCGAGCAACCGTCGTATACCTCTGACTATCTGTACAAGCTGACACCTTGGCAACCACCACATCGTGGACTGGAAGGTACATATGCCAGGCTTTTCGGTTAGATACAGACCACTAACATTATATAGAAGGAGGACCTTACCACGAGATTATGGAATTCGAGCCGTCTCAATCTTCTGACATGCTCGGCCCCTTGTTTGTCGAGGAAGCACTGTCAGACATTCCTATATTTGGCCCCAACAAGGCTGATGTTCAGTCTATCGTGGAGAAGACATTGCAGTCAAAGTTCTCTGCGGCAGATCTCAACAGTAGGTTGACGGGCAATGACAGCAACTCCCGGTCGCCCCTCGACATTTCCAAGTCCACTGCGGAAAAGATGCGAGCTTTGAGAACAGAACTTAAGGAGAAGGCGAGGAAAGCAGATACAAATGGCGCCGAGATCTCCATCATGGAAGAGTCAGTCAGCTCGCTCGCTCAGTTATCACTGTCTACCGAAGGGCCGGTCTCGTGTCGCCACATGCATGAATCTCTTCTTTCGCTGCCCTTGAAGGCCCGGGACTTGTCGATGGAGGCACAGTGTCTCCTGGACCACGTCATGCTTCTTCGCGCGAAGGAGAAGTACCTCTTCGATTGCAATATCAACCGTGTTGTGGTAGCCGATGATCCGTGGCTGCGGTACATGTGGGATTGGATTTCAGGTGAGCAGGTTGGATACGCCAGGGTTGTTGTTGCTAATCATCAGCAGACGCCGAAGATGCTGCCGCGGATGGAGGCATGAAGTTGTCGCCACTCGACCTTAGTTATATGGGCGTCTGTACTATCTGGTGTGATGATTTGGGTCCGTAAAGTGTCCACCGCAATCACCAAAGTCGCGACTGACATGTAGCAGGCCGAAAGCCGTCCTCTAGGCTTCCAGAGGCGTCTCCAATTCCCGAAACGACGTTGTGGGAGAAGTGCATTGGTAGCATCTGTAAGAAGCGGCGACTACCAAAGTATGAAGGCATTCACACCAAGAAGCCTTTCCATAGGCAGCTATGTCTAGATATCTGCGAATGGGGGGACACGGCAGCACATGAAGCCAGGGGAGCAGCGACACACGATCCCAGCCAAGACTATCCCACAACAGCACACACGATGGCAGCAGCTCGGGCTCTTTTCAAGGGCAACACTCAAGAGGCGATTGGAATCCTGAAGACGGCGAGCGTTACACACCCAGAATTGTTATTCGTCTCTCTCGCGCTGCAACTCATCGGAAAGAGCAATCATCATCTTAACAAGGAGCAGCTTGATTTCGACGAGGCCGTGGCATCGAAGACGGATCCCTACCTGAGGGCAATCTCGTCACTGATTGCCACGGGAGACTGGTTCGCCATTGCAAACCAAAAGTCCCTGCCCCTGTCAGACCGGGCCTACGTCGCGGTACGGAACTTTAGCGACGAACAGCTCACCAAGTGGCTCAACGAACAGGTCTCAATGGCGGTGGGCACGGGAGACATTGAGGGCATTGTTCTCACGGGCATAACGGACAGGCTGGTGGACATTTTCGCCAAATACGTTGAGAAGTTCAACGACTTCCAGACGGCGACGCTAGTCATGTCGATATGTGCGCCACGTTACATTGACGACTACCGCTGTCTGGCTTGGAGGAATGCGTACAGGACATATCTACAGCGGCACAAGGCCTTCCTCCAGAGAACCAAGTTCGAGGTGGAGAGCACGAAGAAGAGCAAGCGCGGTGGGCGCCCAACGATCAAGCCACCTTCGCGGCAGATTGCGCTCCGGTGCGTGTACTGCGACGCGGAGACAACTCTCGCTGGGCAGGGAGGAGCCGGGTCGGGACCGCCGCCTGGCGCGCCTGATTCACGTAACCCCCTTATGGCGACGAGCATAAATGCGGGAATCAGCTGTCCCAATTGTGGTCGGCATCTGCCGCGGTGCGTTGTTTGTCTTGAGGTGGTGGGCGTTCCGAGATCTGACCGACCGGAGCACAACGGCGAGCCGGAGAGGTGTATGGCAGCCAACTTTCCGACGTTTTGCTTGAAATGCGAACACGTTTTGCATCTGGACCATGCAAGGCAGTGGTTCACGAGGCACGTTGAATGTCCGGTACCCGAGTGCCGTTGTCGATGCAATTTCAGGGCGAACCCAGAGCTGAACTACCATTGATTACTTACGAGTGGCAGCCTGGTTGGTGAGAGGGCGTCAGGATCAGGATTTGGTACAGGATGGGGCGAATCGAGAGGAGGAGGCAAGGGGAGGAGAGGAGAGGAGAAGAGAGGGCGCATCATGAACAAGGGCCCAGACTGCAAGCATGACTGCTGACGGGCGGCCGACGACGATGTGCCCCGTGTTTTGCTGGGGTTGTTTCTTATTATGTCCCGTCGGGTGGTTGTGACGGAATACTTATGACATGATTATGTATCTGCATTTCATGGTCTCTTGCAGATGGATTCTGGACTCTTTGGCATTCTGCAACGGGCGCGGAAAGGGTATTGCGGAGATTTGACAAGGCCCTGGTCAGCAGGATGCGTTGCCGCATAGCCTTCCTTCAACGGTGTGTGTGCGTGTGTGTGTACTCCGTAAGGGAGCGTACGTGTGTAGGTACACATCGAGTACTCCCGCAACCCCTTTCCGTACAATTACAGCCACAGACAATACCAATAGCGACACGATATTGGCGCTGGATTGCCTTGTACGGATTCGAATGCAGAATTGGGCTGGGACTCGGTGAGGCCTGGACTTGTCACATTCGCGCGCCCGTGCTGCATGTTGATCGATCACCTGCACATCTTCCAGGTTGCGGGGACTTTGACCGGTCGGTGGAATACTACGTTGGGGTTCCCGGGTGATGCCCATTGCAGTGTCCCGGTCAGCGGCCTGTCCACACCCTGTTTGATGATGATGTGTGATGTGTGTAGGTCCTCCGTAATGTGTGTCGTCTGCCCGACGCGCTCGTCGATTCTCTCGACAACCCTGAAGTGCGTGGTGCGTGGCAGGCAGGCACCCGTTCCCCCAAGCCTACCCAAGCCCTGAGCAGCCGCCGCCCATGGTTCTGTATCCAGTCACCCAGTGTCCGTAGACCGGACTCGACAATGGTGTCGGGTGTGAAAATGAGATGTGACCTGCCCCGAAAGCGGGCTGACAGGGGCGGAACCGGAAAGAGAGTGCCTGAGCAGTAGGTAGTGAGGTGGAGGGATGGATGTATGGATATCATTGAGGGTCGTCACTTGTGAGGGTGTTCGGATGCCATGAGGTGCTGAAGGATGTGGGCCCCACTTACCTAAGGTAGGTTGTACTTCGCAAGGTACCCCGTGAAGCAGGGAGGACTGGCGTAAGGTATCCAATTGCGTAGCTTCGCTAGGGAAAGGTACTAGATTATCCGTACGATACCAAGGTAATCACGGTGCACCGAGAGTCCCCTTCCCGGACACATTGACCAGGTAAGCGTGGTAAGTTCGGACGGGTAGGTATTCCCAATGTATTCCCAGGGCACTTTGGTCTGGGCAGGTAGGCTCTTTCCAGGTTTGGCCCTGCCCTGCCTGCCCTGCCCTGCCTGCCCCGAGTGCCCTGCCCTGGTCCCTAGGTTCCTTCCCAGCCCGTGGCAGGTCACTCTTGCCGTCCCATTTGCCTCGGCAGGGTGACTGCGTTGGTTTGGGGGAACACAAAGCGCACGGGGAACTGGTCCGGGCTCTTTACGCACTCTTAGTTGAACGACATCTTCAACCAACCGCCACCAGACACCCTCTCTTTTCGTCCACCTTACGTCTCCTCCCACACATCCCACACACACATACGGACGGGAAACTCATTCACACGCAAACGCTCTCAGATGTACGCACACCCAACCTCTCTTACTCCTCTGACTCCTCCATCACATCCTGTCCCAATTTACCGAGACCTGGACCAGACACCGAACATCCATGACTCCATACGGATACTGACCTGCCCACAGCCACCGAACCCTGCCCGGTTCCGCCTCACGCCTCACGGTCCTCACCTTATCCTGGAACCAACAAGCACCACGCACACACACACGAGACATTCGACGACAAACACGACACGCTCGACCCCATCGTTACTTACCCGTTTTCTGTCTCCAATTGGTCGGTCCTCTTCCAGGGTTACAACTTGCGACGCTCCGCTTTGCTCTTTAGTCTCCAACATGTCACTGGAAGTAATCTACATCACCCGCCATGGAGTAAGTATCCGTTTTCCCCTGCCCGTTTCTGTCCAGTCTCCTTTCGTGTCCGGCTTCTTCTCCGAAACCAACGTTCCAACAAGAATGAGCATGGCCGATAAGATGAGGGCTTGTAACAAAGTTCTTTCACGGAGGCTTCTTCAACCGATTCATCGCCAAATTCACATACCCTGGTACTTGATAGGGATCCGCGGGCAATTTTCTTGAATTTGTCACTTGGTGCTGGCTCTGCTGGTTTTGAGCAAGAGAGTTGATTCTGACAACGGCCTTGGCATTCTTCAGTTCCGGTCCAACTGGCTTGTCGACCCTGCCACGGGAAGCTACACGGCCTCCATCCCGTCCCCGACAGGTATACCTGCGGATCCGGAATTAACTGCCCATGGCGTTGACCAGGCCAAAGAGCTGGGCGCCCACCTCCTGACCGTTGAGCCTCCAATCGACGCAGTTTATTCCAGCCCCTACTATCGCTGTCTGCAAACCATCACGCCCTTTGTTACCCTCAACCAAGAAAACCTCAACCGCCTTCGGGGAAAAGACGTTGGCGCGAAAGCCGATGCTGTCACCATTCGTCCCGAACACGGCCTCTGCGAATGGTACGGCGCCGCTCCATTCGAGCACCCGACCCCAGCCTCGACGGACGTCTTGAAGCCAATGTTCCCTCATATCGATGACACGTATCAGAGCCGCGTCTATCCCGCCCGCAACGGCGAGACCATCGCTGAATTGCACGACCGTGTCGCTGCTGGTGTTCAAGCCATCATTGAGCAATGCGACGCCCAGGGCCACCGTGCAGTGGTTTTGTGCTCCCACGCTGCTTCGATTATTGCCCTTGGCCGAGTCCTTACTGGCGAAATGCCCGAGAGTATTGATGCGGAAGATTTCCGAGCCTTTACCTGTGGGTTAAGCATGTACCGGAGGAAATCGCCCTCTTCTTCAGCAAAAACTCCAGGAACCGATGGTAGGATCCGAACCCCTACGTCATCATCAGGCTATTGGAGCTCACGGTTGACAATGGAACCAACAGGCCCAATCGCGGATACCAAGTCGTGGAGGAATGGTCGGGGAGTCGCAGGCGGGTGGATATGTGAGCTCAACAGCGATTGCAGCTTTTTGAGCGGAGGAGAGGAGAGGGGATGGTAAGTACTCCGATGGACTTCCCGCTCCAACCCGCACCCACGCGCGCGCCCTGGCTGAGATCAATCCAATGGGACCTCGGCTGGCCCTCACCCTTGCTTTTGCCCGACACCCACCGAGGGGCCGCCCCTCCCTATCTTTTCTTTTCCCTACCCGTATTCCTCTACCACCGCCCGAGAATCTTCGGATGCTGTCCTCGGAATAATGCTGACTTGAGGAAACCATCGATAGGCGATTCTCTGGCGACGAGTCCTTTTCCACGGCCGAAAACTCTTCGCAGGCCGACGCTGGAGTGGCGCTCGGCGTGGTGGTGGAAGGAAAAGTGAAACCTGACAAGGTCTCTCCCCACAGAGCTGCAGGTCATCATCGACTCTAGGAATTGGTTCATTGGCGGCGTGCTTCGTCATTTGCATTGCAGTTTTTCTTCTTTTCATTCTCAGGATTCTCCAAAGGACAGTTCCTCGACGGGTCGCTCAGAAGGGTCGAAGGCTGCGACAAAGTTCTAGGTCCTCCAGCCTGACTAGAAACCGATCCGCACCATCCGTCCTTGCGGCCGATACACGATGGCAGCTAATGCCGGATAGACTTGCCTAGCTGCTGCGGGATGCATCATCTGCATGTCTCTGGCACGGGCTGGGTGCCATCAAATCTGCGAGCCAGTCAGCGCAGCGGCTAGCCCCGAATCCATGACAGAAAGACCCCTGTCACTTTCATCTTACAGCTGCCACACCATTTCATCGTTCCATCTCTTCAACTTCAACTGCTCACCCATTGCTCTTCATTGAATGCCTTCAGCACACGAACTCGCACCTAAATTCTCGCCGGAAGCACACGGCTCCTCCTAACCTTCACCGTCTGATCTTTGTCAACCGAGATCGGCTCCTTCAGCTGAAGAAATCCAATCTCGTATCTGAGGCAGCCATTGGCGCTCAATGTCTATCCTGTGTCATGAGCACATGCAAGACGCTTGACGTGCCTGTATCTTGCGTCTCGTCTCGCCTCGCCTCGCCTTGCCTCGCCGCTGCCGTTCACTAATTGGTAACCTGATTTCGATCCCTTGACATCTTGGCTCCTGAAGGTCTGCGCGGGGACTACTGGCGAGAGCTCGAATATCGGCTGATTCCTTATCACAGTGCAGCTCAACGTCGCGGATCCGTGTCCGCTTCCGTGCCCGCCACCTCCAGGCTCCGCAGCCTCGCTCGCCCATTGCTCGGTCTCTGCTTGAGCCCCGGGAAGTGGATATTCGCATACAGAATAATAGCAATAACGAAATGAGTATCAGATCTGGTACAACGCGTTGCTGAAGAAAACTGACCTTGGCAGACCGTGCCGCAGGCATGCCTACAAAGCAATCTCTCTAAATTTGGCACAATTGGTTTTCTGTCACGATACGGTCAAAGAACAGACGCAACAATATCAAACGCCCGCTTGTCATTGTCAAGCTCAGCTTCTCGGTCAATTTCGAATTTCCATTCTCCTAGAAGGTTTAGTCTAGCGTCTGCGTGGGGTCCGATCGGTGCCGGATGCATCTTCCGAATCGCTCACCTAGTGTCCTTGCCGAGACCCTAGCATCATCTTCGGATCTGGCTCGAGGTTGGCCTCCCTAGCGGTGTAGGTTTACACCATTTGACTCAGCTGGTCAACGAGGAGCGTTCCTGTTGAGTCTAGCAAGTATTTCGTACACGGGGCGTACTGCCAGTGGCTACGGCAACTCTCAACTCCTTCACAACACCATCGATTCCGCCAAGCTGCAGTTCTTGAGGAGCTCATGATCATGTCGCATATGTCAAAAGAGCGGTGGACAAAGGCAGCTTTGCGTCAGCGCGAGATAGGAGGGTCGGATAGGGCTCACCGTCCTTGTGAAGAGCTCGGTCATGGATCAGGCCTCGAGGGTTCATTGCCATGTGTACGACTGGGGATGGCGATATTGTTTAGTCCGCATGTGCCTCTTGCAGGGAAAGGAAAGTACAGCCTTGGTTCGACTGCAGAAGAGGCGATGATGGAGGGGTGTGTGACGTGCTTGGGAATTGCTGAACTCTCAGGGTGTTACCAAGGTGGCAGACAATGCTAATCAAGGAGAGAATTCTCAATCGGGCGGCATGCTTCTGTCGATCATGGCCCATAGCCAGCCGCGAGCTTGTCTGTTTCGGAATTTTCATGCGGGTATTGGCCTGACGAGGTTGATGGTCAGGTTCCAAAAGGAAACAGGAGAAAAACAACTGCGGGTAGCCACACGTCCGCAGGGCGGATAGGTTGACGTGGTATTATTGCCAACAAAACACGCGCTGGACTAGCAAAACCGTATGCAATGAACAGAAACGGGCAACCCAAGATATTTCGGCCGAATAGCTCCACGGAGCTCCTCTCATTAGCACCAGGGCACATACGAATACAGGAGAGAAGGCAAAGGGTTCGACGGATACACCGGGTACAACGGGTAAAGGTTGCTCGCTATCGCATATTTCGTGGCTTACGTTCCGTCCACGAGGCTTCTTTGCTCATTCTCAGCAAATGATTTACATACAGGCATTTCGCGTGGGGTAGTACGAATGCTGTCAACAACCGGCAAGCACATCTTCCAAGTTCAGGACCATTCAAAACGAGCCAGCATCATGAGGGGCCTCCTGCAATCATGTGTGGCACGTCGGGTGATTTGCGGCGCAGAGTAGGAGGCTGTGAGATGAGCAAGCCAGCCCGATGCGACGGTTTGCAGAACCAACTCCAACAAGTCAGAAACGTGCCCGCGGTGCGAGGTGGTCCAACAAGAATCAAGCAATTACATGGGTTCGAGATGTATTTCTGGGGCACAAAGGGTCTTCTCATTAACGACTCGGCTGGTTCGAGTCGCAAAGTCGTCAGAGCTTTTGAGCGGTAAAAGGCAACTGCAAAGAGAAAAAGGAAAGACAGATGCATCGTGGCGAACCCTCCTGCATCTCACACTCGACAAGGCATCGTCGCGTGGCTTCAACAAAGGGAGAAAGATCCCTGAATTTGACGGCAGGCTTGAGTTGAGTCTAGTGAAGAGTCCAGACGAGACGAGACAGGCAGGGTAATGAGATACCTCTCTGGCTGTATGGAATAAGAAACCTGGGGTTCGTTGGTTGGCCAGACGGTGATCCGGCCGGCAGCAGGTTCGCAGATGAGTGGGCAGCAGAGCTGCAAGTCAACACAAGAAGACCGTTATGGCATTATGCTTACCATAGACCGAGTCTTGCGGAGAGTCCGGGTGGCAGCGGGTTCTCCACCTGAAGACAAGTGTCTTCGCCAGCCCAACCGCCATCTGTGGCCATCGAAATCTGCGGCGGCCAGTGGTTTCTTATTCCTACCGACTCGAATCATGGTGAAGATCCAGATTGTTCATTACGGAACATGGCTACGTACTTTGGGGGGGACTCTTGACACCATCTCACCCCTCCCCCCCTGGTCAGCGCCAAACTAAGCGTACACAACCCTGCCAGCCTGCCAACCTTTCCCGCCTCTTCACCAGTCATTGGCACCCTCGTCGGGCGGGCCCCCGCAAGAGAGTGAGCGGGTTGTCGAGACTCGACACGACGGCGGCCCCACAAACCGTCTTTCCTGACCCTAGGAGGCGGCGGTATGGCGGCTGCAGTCGACGACTACCGCGTGGCCATCCATGGGCGGCCATTTATCGATCCCTCCATCTCATCAGTGGGTACAACGTACCGATGAGAGAGACAGAGAGAGTGTGTACGTCTCTCCCAAATCAGAAAGGTATCTCGAACAACCTGAAAGATTACGATGAGCATTTCCTGCGAGATTTGAGGCGGGTATGTGAGTGTGTGTGGGGAGAGGCGGGTGGGTTAGCCAAAAAGGACACTCAATTCTGCATCCCAGAATCACACCGACTTTGGCTTGACGCCGAGGACTTGCCGTGAAGTGAGCAGGCCATTCTGCAAACACAACACATGGATGGCTGTTCGGTGAGGCAGGTATGGGCGGTAGGTCATGGGTATGGGATGGGGTGGGATGGCCGTTGCAAAACGACGACAACGACAATGAGCCATGAACAACAATCAGAGCAAACACTGTTGGACACAGCCTGTCTCCAAATCCAGATGGGAGGGATGGAGGAGCAGAAGGATTATCTATAATTGCAATCATGGGTTCCAGAATCCCGGGACCATGGACGACAATAGACGGTCCAACCGGTGCACAGCTGCCAAATGTTGGAGTCAGCTTTTGGGGGCCCCAAGTCGATCCAATGGCAGCCTCGTGTTGGTCCATCAGTAAATGAGGGTTGAAGTCACACGAAGCAAAAAAGACATGGCATATGCCTGGCGGTTCCTTGCTCACTTCACTTAGTTTCTACCGTCGCGACAGTGTAAAGAGCGTGAGACTGAGAGAAGGTATCCTGAGCCTTACCTGACAAGGGCGGAGGCAACGAAAAGAGGCACGGACGACGATGAAATTGTGTTCCAATGTGTGCGGGTGTCTTTATCTCCACCTTATACCCACACCTCGAGTGTCCCGATCGAGTATCTAATCGTTCGTTCTTTCGTCTCTGCTACGTCCGGAAGACAGTGGAACTCGCGGCTTGGCCCCCGAGCGACTACCACCTCACGCACCAGTTGTGACGCGCAGCTCGATCTAAGACTAGCGCCCCTGGAGGAGAATATCGACTGTGCAGCAGGTCCCGAATACCACCTGCACTCACTTGCATCCACACGGGTTCGGGCTCGCCCTCGCCTTCGCTTGCCTCTCACTTTGAGTCTAGGCTGCTGGCACGGCCTGGAGTGCCTAGGTTACTAGCTGGGCTTGCAAGCTTGCACTGCACTTGGGGGGGGGGGGGGGGCTCGGGCAGCGGCTGCACTACAGATGGCACTATTCCCCTTCATTACCCGGGCCCTCCACGGAAGACTGTAAGTAGTAGGTATGAATGGATACTGTGATGCACTCTCATCTCGACTATTGGGGTGCTTCATCGACTGGAGCAACTTCCTCTCTCCCTTGCAAGCTGTGATCTCGCAAACCACCCCACCTACTACCTGCGGGCGCTGCTGCTTCCTTCGATTCCCTCATTCACGCCTCCCCGTCTCACTCACTCACTCTCTCCTCCTCTTACTAGGTAGCTAGGGACTGCTGTTGCTGCTGTCTTCTATTGATGCTGCCGCCAGCGCTTGCATGCCCGCGATCCATCCTCGTCATTCCCAAACAGGCCACGACCCTGTTTGCTACATGCCTCCATTCAAAGGCGGTGGCGTAAGGAAGATGGTTCTCTCCTGCAACGGCATGCATTACACAATTGAGGGGGGGAGCACGGGAAGAAAGCCACACATTGACACACCCACAACTAGGTCACTATGTACTTGGAAGAGAAGCGCGTTTCTCCTCTCTCTCCAAGTCTCTCTCAGTCCCTCCCCCAGGTGACGAGCCAGGATCTTAACCCTGGATGAGGGGCGCTCGGCGCCAGCCAGACCTGACAGATTGGGCGACCTGCATGATACATGCCATGGATCTACACATTTGGTTGCGTCTGCACATTGCCTGCTTTAGCACCGAAGAAAAAATAAGAAACGGCTTTTCGCTGTCAGAAGCCTCCGAGCGGAGCCCCGATCTCCCTGGCCCTTGCTTGGAGCTATAGAGATAAACCTGGTCTTCAACTCAACCCCATCGAACCGGGGTCCTGGCTCTTTTCTTTCTCAACCGTGTGTGGAAACTTGAAAGAGAGTGAGGTCCCAGAGCAAAAAGAGATATAACAGAGACAGAGATCCATCGCGGCCGGGAACTTGATAATCAGGGTCTGACCCGTTGTCGATGACTCGTCTTATTTCTTCCTCCCGATTAACACACACCTTTCGCCCCCAGAGATCTCACACTTTCAACGTTGTTGTTCCTTGATCAAGATCTCCGCAAGTGTTAGGCATCATTTCTGCCTTTCTTCTCTTTGCTGGCTTACACACATTCTTGATCTGAGTACTTTGATCACTCCGGACCTCGACGTCTACTACCTACAACATTCAACAACATGTTTGTCAGGTTACAAGATCACCAAGAAGGCATGGACAGACTGCCGCCTCCGCCAACCATGAGTTACCACCAGAGCCGCACCGACGACGTACCAAGGGTGTTACCAAGCCTCTCATCATTCAGCTTCGACGACAGGATGGACGTGGACGCTCGTAACGATACGAAGCCGGGCCAGCGTCATGAGGTGGAAGTGGCAACAACCTTGGCCTCCATGGCATCGTTCAACATCAAGTCGCCTACACTTCCTTCTCCCACTCAGAGCTTCACCTCAATCAAGTCAGATGGTAGGACAAATCATTTCACTACAAGTGTCATTCAAGATGGACTTTGAAGCTTACATCAACCTCTAGCCATGACGAGATCAACAAACTCTCAGTTCTCATCTCCTGAGCCGCGGTCACCAGATCTCCCTTCCGTCAACAGCCAACTTTCCTTCACCAAGGATAGCACGGCACAGATTACGCTCCCCCGCCTTCGTGAATTGGATCTGCGGCTTCCCGAGCCCGAGTTCGTCCCCAGCCCAAGCTTCATGCCGTCCGCCATGACTGGAGGGCCTCGTCGAAGCA